TGATTTCCTATTACCCAGTTTTCCTTTGTGTATTGAGTGGATGAATCATGATCCTGGCAGTGATAAACCTGGCAATATGTGTGCCATAGGCTGTATGGATCCTGTAATCACTGTATGGGATTTAGATATACAAGACTCTATAGAGCCCACCTTTAAATTGGGTTCGAAAGGCAGTCGTAAGAAGAACAAAGAAGCCTATGGTCATAAAGATGCTGTTTTAGATTTGTCCTGGAATCGTCAATATGAACATATTTTAGCTTCTGGTTCAGTAGATCAAACTTTAATTCTATGGGATTTGGATGAAGGACAACCTCACACTACTATAACCGCTTTTGAAGAGAAAGTCCAGTCAATTGGTTTCCATCCTGAGGAAGCTCAAAGCATTTTGGCCGGCTCTGCTGATGGTTTAGTGCGTTTATTCGATTGCCGTGATCCAGAACAGGTAAACACCTCCTTTGTCAAATGGCAAATACCTGGAGAAGTTGAAAAGGTTCTCTGGAATACTTGTGATAGTAATTACTTTATTATTGGCTCCAATGAGGGTTCCTTACACTATGCTGACAAACGTCAACCCAAAAAATTATTATGGTCTTACAAGGCCCACGAAGAGGAAATCTCTGGCATTTGCTTCAATTCCGAGGTAAAGAATCTGCTAACCTCCACCTCTACAGAGGGTTGTCTGAAAATCTGGAATTTCAATACTGCCGAAATTAAGCCGGTCTACTCACATGACTTCCAAATGGGACGTTTGCAGTGTATGAAACAGTGTCCCGAAGATCCTTTCACTTTGGCGTTTGGCGGTGAGAAACCTCCACGTTGCCGTGTCTTCAACATCAAGAACTTTGAGGCAGTACGACAAGTATTTAATATACCCACTGTGGAGCAGGAATAATTTGTTAATTTGACATTTATTTTGACGCAGGCGTATTTCCCATTTTTTACAAAGTTTTCTTTTTTAATTCTTATGTACAGTTTTTCATAAATTAGTAATTAATTTACTATTATCGCTAATAATTTTTATTTTAGTAAAAAATAAATATAACTTTTAAATACAAGTTAATGGAAATGTTTGTTTTTGTTTTAATTTAAAGAATTTTATACAATATTTAGTTATATTTCTAAAGTTTTCTTAAAAATAATTTTAAAGAAAATTCAAATAGATTAGAAACCGTTTTTTGCAAAAACTAGGTAAAGTATATAAAAAAAATTAACTTCATTTAGTAGAAAAAATAATCTTAAACTAGGTATTTACTTAAATCAATAAAAGTAAAACAATTTATACATTAAGTTGAAACTTTAGCGGATACTAAAACCACTTGTTCCCCTCTTAATAGAAGTTGTGGCAAATGTCTTTTAACCTCCACACGTTTTCTCGACAAACTTTTAACACTCTGTTGCGGCAGGGTTATACCTAATTGCTCTAAAATATAAGAACAATCTTCGGGCTGTTGATGGTTAACTAAATTATCTTCAGCATATTTATATTTACGCTGTTCAAAGCATTCTAGCACATCGGCTAACAAAAGATTCCAATGACGATCAAACATTTTTAGTTCTCCTTCAATATAGCCTTTAATGCCATGTTCTTTTCTTACTAGAACTCTTATCCTGCGGCTTTCTTTAACAAATTCCTGCAATTGTTTGATAGGTCCTTCTGATTGAGCCATTTGTATTAGAATGTTTCTTTGATGTTTTTGTTTAACTTTCGCCTGTGTTCTGATGGCCATTTGATGGTCTTGGAAACGTCTCTGTGTTCTTTCCTCCTCTACTAATAAGGGATTTTTGTTATCTTTGCTGCCTGCCGCCAAGTTAGTTTTAGGTTTTTTATTTAAACCCATTATACCAAACTTTTTCAGAGCCGTTTCAAAGGCTGCCATATTCTGATAGATAATTTTGGGCTGTTTTTCTGTTACTCGATAGTTGGGATCATATAAAGCCTTTAAAGGATTGAAATGTTCACTTGTAATATCCAATTCCTCATCATCATCATTGCCAGAAGGCTTTTCTGTTTTATGTTCTGCTTCGGCCAATTCTGTCCCGGAAGGATTAGTTTGTGTGCTTGAGGCTTGGTCTTCTTGTTCTTTTGTTATTTGTTCCATTTCGTTACAATTTTAAATAACAAATAAACAAAATTGTAAACAAAATTTAAATTTATTTTTAAAAGTTTTAAGAAGAATAACTAAAGCATAATTAGTGCAAAACAAAGCGATTACAACGTTTTTTTTTATACGGAGTTTGACATTTCAAATGCTTAAACTTGTATAAGAGAAGCCATCTTGTATGAATTTGCATTTGTTTTGTGAGATTTGACAATCATCTGTTATGGTTTAAAAAATGGTGAATAGTGATGGATAAGTGGGTGCAGAGGTCCAAGTCGATCGGCGCCAAGCCGGCTTGGCGCCGCCGCCGAAATTTTTTTTCGGTAAAAGCCGCCGCCGATTCTATCGGCTGAAACCGGCTAACTTCATTAGCCGACTCATCCAGCTAAGTCGGTAAAAATTAATAAAAAAATATACTATATAGTTTTTATTAAATTGTTATTATGTTACAATAATTTTTACAAAGTGTGAAGTAATGTTATTCATTAACTGGTCAATGGCTTATAAATGAAATAAATGAATTAAGAACAATATAAAAAAAATTGGCAGCTCTATAATATTAAAACAAAAAATTAAATATGGTAACATTTAAAATATGCAACTCTAAGCGACGCAAATTTGCTCCCGTTATTTTTTGCAAAAAAAGTAAAATAAAATAATTTAATTGCAAAATGGCCCAAAAAAATATTCGGAGCTACTTTTTAAAAGAATCACAAAATATTCCGGAAATATCTTCAGATTCTGAATCTGAAGAAGAAAATTATATGAAATATATATCCCCTTCATATGATATTAACCATTATAATGATCTATTTAAAAGAAAAATGGCAGTAAAAAAATGGCAAAAGTTATAATAAATCCCAATGGTATTATTATTTTTTTTATTAAATAAGTCTAAATGTAGCCTTCTACATGTACCTGTAACTTGTTAAACTTGTTTTTTTAAGTTTTGTAATAAAAATTACTTAAAAAATGAATACCAAATTGGTATAATTTGTAATTTTTATAATTTGTATCGGCTTCAGCCGGCTTAGAGCCGCCGCCGATTAAATTTACTTCAGCCGCCGCCGCCGACTATTTTCACACGGCTTGGACCTCTGAGTGGGTGACTCTGACTCTGGAGAATTTTTGCAGACCATTTTCAAAACATGAATACTTCTTGCCTTCTTACATGAATACTTAATCCCGATCGTTTAAAATTGCCAGATTTGTCCATTTAACTAACAATATTAGAAGATCCTGACTATGTAGCACCTGTTCCCTTTTGTCAAGCCCGGCTACTTAACCATATACCAAAACTTATTTATATTTAAATGTATAAATAAACAATGTTTTGTGCAATTAATATTAACCAAACTTCAAAAAATTACCATAAAGAAAAAAGAAATCCACCACATAATAAAAATTATATATCTGAACTACCCTGTAGTTATTTTATGTCCACCACACTTTAACTACCAATAAAATACAACAATGCAATGTAAAATCCACATTTGTGTTTTCGATGATGAATTCCACGAAATGAATTCAGTCATTAAATTGAAATCAATGTTATGTTGTTGTTAAACTACGAGAAATTATTTTGCGTGTAGAAATTTGAGATAATTAAAAAGAATTAAGAAAAAAACATAATTTATAGAAAAGAAGCAGAAAAAAACGAGTACAATATGCGTGTTTGTTAATTAAAATGGCAAATAATTGAAGCGTTTAAAATAATTGTTGAAACATAATAAAAAAAGTGTAGAAATTAATTAATCAAGGTGCATATAAAATTTTTTCAGTTTTAAATAAAAGAGAACGAGTGAAAATGATTTTTCATGAATCGCAAATGAATAATGATGTTTGCCAATGATAATTGTATTGTTTTTTGTTGCTTGTTTTTTTGTTTGTGAATATTTTTGATGTTTTGTTTTGTGTTTGACATTTTGCTAGAGATAGAGAATAAATGAAAAAAAAAATATAATGAAAATTTAAAAAATTTATTCATAGCTAATCGAAACAATTTACTAAAGATTAAAAAAATCTAAGAAAATTAACCATCATCATTTGTATGCAGTTTGTGTGCAACGCGGAAACCAGAAAATTACTTCATAATTAAACAACGTTATAAAGAAATAATAAATAAATATTGCATTATATTGTTAATTGCAACACATTTTCTTTTTTACGTTGTTTCTATTGTTTTTGTGTAATAATAGTGCTAATTATAAATTGCTAAATAGAAAAAATAATAATGCAAAGTTAATAAAAAGAAAACCCTTGCAAAAAGCCACCAGCAACAGCTTTTCATAAAAAATTTCATAATTTTCTTTTTCTTTTATACAAAAGGAAATAAATTAAAAACAGGACTTTAGCACTTCATGGGAACAGGCCTATAGTTAGCCTGCCAGACATCAAATTCAATTATTGAAAACAGCAACAAAAAACTGTAAAAAAGTAGTCTAGCCACAAAACTTACAGAAACCAGTTGCCTTTGGCCTACAAGTGTTCAATGTTATTGACGCCACCAGCAGCCGCCATCTATTCAAAGCATCTCCAGCACAACAACAACTACAAATGCTTTAAAAAAGTACTTTAAATCATCTCATTTTGCAGCAGGTTCTTCAAAAAAGTTGTCTTGCCTTTTTGTATTTTTTGCTCTTCCTAAAATAAAACCAAAAAACAACAACAACTGAATTTGCAACAGCAAACGCTAGTGCAATTTTTTATAATAAATACAACAACAGCTGCCCCCTCCCCAAAAATAAAAAAATAAAAACAAAACCTGTTTTTCATTTAGCTCCTCTCAATTATCAGCTGCTCTTTTTAAATTTTGTTTATTGTTGTTGTTGCTAATTTTGTGGGCTTTCGTGTTTATGCTGACAGCTGTTCCTTTGGCCAGCATCCCCCCTTAATAAAAGGTAAGCTTTATTATAAAGTTCTTTTTAATTTTAAATGAAACAAGAAGATCAAGTCCGACTAAGAGATACCTTACAGTAATAAAAAATATAGATAGATAGATAGATAGATAGATAGATAGATAGATAGATAGATAGAATAGATAGATAGATAGATAGATAGATAGATAGATAGATAGATAGATAGATAGATAGATAGATAGATAGATAGATAGATAGATAGATAGATAGATAGATAGATAGATAGATAGATAGATAGATAGATAGATAGATAGATAGATAGATAGATAGATAGATAGATAGATAGATAGATAGATAGATAGATAGATAGATAGATAGATAGATAGATAGATAGATAGATAGATAGATAGATAGATAGATAGATAGATAGATAGATAGATAGATAGATAGATAGATAGATAGATAGATAGATAGATAGATAGATAGATAGATAGATAGATAGATAGATAGATAGATAGATAGATAGATAGATAGATAGATAGATAGATAGATAGATAGATAGATAGATAGATAGATAGATAGATAGATAGATAGATAGATAGATAGATAGATAGATAGATAGATAGATAGATAGATAGATAGATAGATAGATAGATAGATAGATAGATAGATAGATAGATAGATAGATAGATAGATAGATAGATAGATAGATAGATAGATAGATAGATAGATAGATAGATAGATAGATAGATAGATAGATAGATAGATAGATAGATAGATAGATAGATAGATAGATAGATAGATAGATAGATAGATAGATAGATAGATAGATAGATAGATAGATAGATAGATAGATAGATAGATAGATAGATAGATAGATAGATATAGATAGATAGATAGATAGATAGATAGATAGATAGATAGATAGATAGATAGATAGATAGATAGATAGATAGATAGAAAATTAATTAATTAAATTAATGCTAATTTTTAAATTCTGCGAATGCTTTACTGTAAGGTGAGTGTTAGTATCGACTAATATTGTGGGGTATAAACGTCTTATTTCTTGCCAAAATAATAATGACAATATGTCAGTTTTATTT